TCAATTCTCTAATTAATTTATTTTGGTGAATATTTTTGTAATTTTTGGTAAAAAGTGATATTTTCGACTTTTTGTTAAAAACTGTAAGTCCGATTGCTTTGATACTATTCATATTGTTCATTTTCTAATGATGTCTTCTGTTCTTTAATTGAAATGTGCATTGCTAACAGCGGAGCTATCTCAGCTGATAGGCTGCTTGTTCAGTGATATAATACAATCAAACATATCTACTTTTATTTAGTTATTTGTTGAAAAATTGTTTTTTATATATAAGGAAATATATTTTTTTTTTTGGTATTTAAAACCAACAAAATTAGTGGGTATTCGTATGTGCAGGGAAGAAGCAGTATGTCACCCTCTATCACCGGGAACATTTTAGTCGTGTACAGTACTTGTATAGACTATAAATTGTAGAAACAGTTTTTAGTTAAAAAACTAAAAAATTATTGATCTAATTTAAAAAGGAATATTAAAAGAAATATTAAAATAAAGCATGACACTTGTAATATGTATAAATGACAAATATTATTATATGTTGGAAAAATATGTAATTTCAAATACTGTAAAATACTTTATTTTAGCTGGAATTAATTTTCGCTGAAAAGACATTTTGGGTGTTTTGTATGGAATTTATTTTCATTGATTTTTGACAAGTTGAATGTAAAATATAGGAAAAAAGCATTTTATTTTCACTGAACCATTCCTTTAGCGAAATAGCAAAAATCAATTCCAAATGAAAATAAAGTATTTTACAGTACATTTTTATCAAATGTCTTCTTTTTTCTCCAATTTTTTTGCAGCAAAGCCTTGCAAGTTGTAAGTACCGGCTTTAGCAGTAAAAACACAAGGTTTCCTGTCTCTATACTCACTAAGTGGTTGGATTTTACTGAAGAGTTACACACTATTGAATTCTGTCAACACCATGGGCTGATAGTGGAGAACAACTTTGTTCATTTAATGAAGACTGCTTTTAAAATTCCACAAAGTTACAATTCTGTAAGTACTGTGTATTCATTAATGATGCTAGATGACAGACTTTACCAATCCTTTTAGAATGTCACATTCCTTGCTAGATGACAGACTTTACCAATCCTTTTAGAATGTCACATTCCTTGCTAGATGACAGACTTTACCAATCCTTTTAGAATGTCACATTCCTTGCTAGATGACAGACTTTACCAATCCTTTTAGAATGTCACATTCCTTGCTAGATGACAGACTTTACCAATCCTTTTAGAATGCCGCATTCCTTGCTAGATGACAGACTTTACCAATCCTTTTAGAATGTCACATTCCTTGCTAGATGACAGACTTTACCAATCCTTTTAGAATGTCACATTCCTTGCTAGATGACAGACTTTACCAATCCTTTTAGAATGTCACATTCCTTGCTAGATGACAGACTTTACCAATCCTTTTAGAATGTCACATTCCTTGCTTGTGTCCTGGAAGATTACAGTTGGGATTTTTAAATTGATATAAACTTGACTGCTTGTTTAGGAAAGAATAATTTGGATCCAAAATTGATTTCAAAGTTGATTCCAATTACTGTATAGCAAAATTTTTAATGTTCATTAAGAATATTAATCATTCAAGTTGGGTGGGGTTAAAAGTTAATTTTGTATTGTGTGTATTGAACCACGCAATGAGACTTATTGGTATGCATTGAAATGCAACTCTTATTTAACAAGAACAGAATGTTTTATTTGGAATACAAAATGCGTGCTATGTTCAAATTTGAAACATTTTC